CAGTCGCTTTCAAGGCCTTGAAAAGCCATATGCTCCTGACTCATAAACAAAATTGATTCGCGACTGACCCTTAGCATGGATCCACCCATATGCTTTTCCGATAGTAACCCGCAGGCTCAACTACAGGGGAAAGGACCTGGTTGAGTGTGCCAGAAGCATATGTGAAAATTTTGTAACGGGCTCCCAATCAAGTAGCTGAGGATATTGCCATTAGGAGGCAACCCGCTTGCTTTTTGGTTCTTCATGCCGCAGCCGTTTAGAGGGCCACGACAAGGATAACGCCATCAGACGAACAAGCAACATCGATGCGAGGCGCGCACACGGCCAGCTGATAATTGAACTTGAGCGACTTTGAGCTGTCTAGCCTGTAAACCTGGAAGACGGGGTCACGACTTGAAGTCTATGAAACGCAAACACATCAGTGTCCTGCGCACAGAAGCGTAACGAGAGGAGGTACGTAGTGACTAGGATTTTGCATGAACAAGGGTTCTTCCGTTTCCCCGGAGTCCTCCACAATTCGGGCTGTAGTTTGCGCCTCGTTACTACCATCTGGTGGCGGGAAGCGTCCAATAATGAGGATCTATTTGAGCTAGTCGAGGTCCGCGTTTGTTTTGATCCTTGTTGCATATAATACAACGGGCTGCAAAGGTAGGGCTAGTAGCCTGCAACATGGCCGGCAAGGCCCTCGAATTGACGATCATGAACCCCTGAAGCGCCACATGCGTCGTCAGGCTCGGCACTGGACGGTGCCAGATTGGGCTTTGTAGTCCCCGGAGACATTTTGATAAACAAGGGTACTATGAGCCCGGCAGGCTACGGAAATACCAGTTTGCATTGTATCCCGTCCCTGCTCGCGCTAACTTTAGACTGATTAGACATGCCCTCAGATGAGCGGTGCTCACACACTGAATGCACCACTCTACAGCAAAACTAACGGTGGAGGAATCGCTTATGCATTATTTCCTTAATAACAAGGGCCATGGAAGCTAGATACCGGCGATCAGCGCGAAAGACGGGAGAAAAGCAGGGTTGAAGGGACAACAGATCGTCAATGCTGTGGACGCTATTGTGACTAGTACATTACCACGTCTGGTGGCTGCAGGGGCGCCCGGGATTGCAGAAACAACAGAGCGCTGCCTGTCCTGGAATGCAACCTGAATCAACTAATGGACTGGAAGCATTTTCTCGTTTTGCGTTTCACTCCCCAGCCACGAGTAACCGCCCAAGTAACACCGGGAGCAAGGGTAACTTAATTGAGGCTGTCTTTAGTATCCTGGGACCCACTCAAAGGAGCTACACGGTGTCTGAAGCAAAGATCTATGATCACTCTTTACTACTAACGAGTTGCAGAGGGACGAGACAGCGATCTGAAGATACAGTTGCAACGCACAAAACGCACGCTCAGCGGGAACAATGTGGCGGGGATTCGACTTGAACAACATCTGCACCGAGCTGCTCGGATATCTTGATATGTGCGTCGTTTACAATGAAGAACAAGCTAGACACGTCTTGATGATTTAATCGAGACCGTTTGGCGGCTTCATCAAGCATACTGTTACAAACAACCAGTAACCTCGGCGTAGTGTGCACACAGCTAGTAGCATGTCTAATATGTGACCAGATAATTCAGTGCCATGAATCGAACTCTATGAAGTGGAAAGAGGAGATCCCAGGGATAGGAAAAGCTCTGGCGGCTGTCAAGCACGCAACAGCCCTGCGGCAGGGG